GCATGAGATTGACAAGCAGATTCAGTAGAAGTAGAACCTCTGCTCTTTTTAAGTTGAAAGGAGTCAGTTGTTCTGACCTGAATGCCTCCCATGGGGTATTCCTCGTGGTGGTAACCCCCTGGGTCTCTTCCCAGGTCGAAAATCAGGAGAATACTTACCCAGGATAACCCAGGTCTGTTGCTGGAGGGGGAGGATGTCTCACCCACTTTGTTTAGCCCACTGCCACCATCATCCAGTCCCCAAATAAATAGCTAAATAGCTGAAAATGGATAAATAAATGGCTTTGATCATTCTCTGTATAAATATTTACACTGAATCTCTACAGGCATCTGTCAAGATCTTTCTCTAACAGTCTAAATCCCCTGAGACAGTGGAAAGAGCTTGAGGAAATAAATGCAAATTTGTAATTATACTTCACCAGCTCAAGATTCGGATCGTTTTGTAGCCATGTTTCATCACAACACTGAGATGAGTGTTGGTTCGATGGTTATCGGAACCTTTTTCATTTCCTGCTAAACCTTTCTTCAAATATTTGTATGCGTTTCTGTGTCTCTGTGCATCTCAGTGCTATGTCAGTTTCCCAGTCTGAATGACAGCCCGGCTGCAGAGCAGTTTATACACACTGTTAGGCAATATTTACGTAAGCAGGAACTTAACCTCACAGTAGAGTCCAAAAAGACACAGTAGATTGTCTCAGTGAAGAAAATGCCTTCCACTGTCTGTTTACCAGCCATCATCGATGATCATTTCAAACTTTCCCACATTATCATTTTACACCTCTCTTAACGTTTGTTAGAAAACTGACTTCGTCTTTTTTGTCTACTTTTGTTCACAATAGGGAAGCATTGAGATTTGAATATAAAGTAGTGATGTTTTCCCCCTTCTGTAAGTCCATTAACTTTAATATAACTGGGATGACTGCTGAATTGATCTGCATCCCCTGTGGAGCAGCTGTAATGCAGCAATGATAGGCTTTGCATTGCGGTCATGCTTCTGCATTCCAGTCATGCTTCTCTGCAAACAGCAAGTAAACGGAGGCCTAACCCTGCAGGAGAGGACCAGCAATGAAATGCATGCAATAAATGAAAGCAGGGGGCAAGTGCCCTGGGTTTTATCTTGGATCAGTGCTCAGAGATGTGGAACAGGAATCTGGACACTAGGGAGGCAGCCAAATGCATTGGTTTAAGAGCAACTACACAGCTGCCACATTGGGAAACAATATGCTTGAAGCTGCATCAACAGAAAGCTGACACCTGTTGTTTGTCCCTGACAAAACTGGTGACCTGTGTAAATGGTTCTTTAGTTTCAGATAAAAGCAATTTTTGTTTTAAACAAAAATTCAGCAATTGTTTCTTTCTTCAGTACAATAATTTGAGTTTACTCAGTAGTTATCTGGCCATCCTTGAGTCCACTACAAAAGACAGTGAGGACAGAGGTTTTGGAGAAAGGATGAGGTTAGCCCTTTCTGCTTCCCAGAGGGCATACACAATTTTCAGCTCTAGTGAGCCAGCTCTAGGAATACCTAAGTCTGAACACAGAACAATACTCAAACTCATTTATTCACATCCTTCCATGGCAGCAACTGACTTGTCTCACTTTTTTTCTAATACACAACAAAAAAGGCGCATTTAGGATTGCGTAATCCACTGACACACAATTAACTCAAAGCGGAGGTTTAAGGATGGTAAAGATGAACCATGATGCCATATTTTACTTCAAATATAGTGAGTATGTTAATCAATTAGTGTGATGAAATAAATGAGAAAAATCTGAATATTCATCTCTCTAAGGATGATAATGGATGTGTCACTCATGTTCTGATTGGGCGCTACTACAGTAGTACTGAGGCTTGCAGGTAAGCTCTATGATTGATAGCTATGCGGAGAGTGCCACTGCTGCTCTCCCCAGGCGATGGAAACTGCACTCATGCTCAGCGGGCTGCCAGCATTTCTACCAGTCAACACTGAAGCAAAGATGTCCTATTGCTTGCTGTATCTTGAGTGACATAAGATAAAGATATCAAGGCAAAAATCCAAATGGCAAAATTGTGAAACTATAGCTTGATGGGTGAAATAAAGTACAATTCCTTGGAAGCAGAAGTGTCTTTCCACAGTAGGTTGATGCTAACATGACTCACAATATGTGGATGGAAGCTTTAAAACAAAGTCTCGGCTCCCCTGAGACCTTTTTAAAAAACCATGGATGTCCACATTGAGCTGAAAAGGATTTGTGCATCTTTAGCTGACACTAGCCGGGGCACGACGTGTTGTGGCAGATATTTCAGGTGTGGGACGAGGCTTATGGCAGCTGGAGGTGGACAAAGAGCAGCAAGGGGAGTTAACTGCCTCCACTGTGCTATGACCATCTATAGTGATCCACTTTACTTCTCTAATCCACTTGTCTCAAGCGAGCCACAAGTGTGTCCCATTTGTATTGTTGGTGTTTTTGAATATAAATCGGTGGACTTAAACATTTTATGGGGATTAGGTCAGCTTAGCTCCATGCCTAATGCAATGATTAGGGATTTCTGGCACAGCAGATAAGTGAATGTTCACTAGTTACTCAGCAACTGTGCTCAACTGTTAAAGACCTTAAGCCGAAATGGCAAAGTCTTGGACAAGACAGCTCTCCAGCTGCAATAGTGTGTCACACATAACACTTCCAATAACTTTGGCTACACGGTGATACATCAATTTCACTTTTTTTTATACTTCAGATGGTCAGTGACCAATCTATTGTCACCATCAAGACATTATTGTACAAATCAAGTGAGTGTCTTACATACAGCTGTCATGGTTGGTACAAGCAGGGTAAAAGGAATACAAGCGATTGGGCCCAAATGCAGTGAACTGCTGCAGAGCAGATGCCGTTCAGTGATTTATTAATGAGAATAGCTTACAGGCATGTACAGATAAGTAGGTTGGCAGGTTAAGGAGTAGACAGAAACATAGCAACTAGGATAAATGGTATGTGTAGTGTAGGGTAGTGAAAACAAGTGAGCAAGTGAATGATCAGAGGGTCAGGTGAGGATGTCCATGCTAACAATTTGCAATTATCTCCAAACATAACAGATTCTATCTTGCATGATTAAACCCTAGATGTTGTTTGAACATAAATATAAAAACACATGATTAAATGTATGTGTTTTTTCTTAGTAGTTTTTAGTCAAATTGCCCTAGTTTTCTATTCACTGCAATGTCAAGAAACTTATTGGACAACACATTGATCTTTCTTTTATAACAGAAAGGTACTTTCAAAAAGCTTTTGATATACAGGGTGAATCAAGTTTGATTAGTTCTCTTACAAAAAAAAGCAGCTTTAGGAAAGGTGAAGCACTTCTCCAGCCTGATGATATTTATGTCAAACTGATAAGTGATAAGCAGCCAAGTGTGCCATAAAATCTGACCTACAGCACCTGAAAAGGCTCCAAGAGATGTGGCGCAGCTCCAGACACAGAGCAGACAAACCACATTACTCTTAATATCAAATGCTTGTGAAATGCAAAAGTGAGCAGTGTATAAATCAAAGCAAGGTCTACAAAATAGGCAAATGTTTAAGGTTAAAAGCGAGAACTAGTGGGTCACTTGGGGATCAAAAGAATTTTAAAGTGCTGTATGAAGAGAATTTTTAAGTGCAAGTTGGAAATGGACCTTTGAAGATAAAATGCCAGCACCCATTTTGTCAATAATTCCTTTTAAAGTTACTATTGAACTCTTGGTAACATAGACTGTGTGTGCGGTGTATAATTACACTTTTTCCTCTCCTTTTTAAGAATGTACAGGCTAACATTACATAGTTTAAAAAACTCTATTCGAGGTAGAGGTAAGATTGATCTTAAAATGCCCATCAACTGCAAATATAGGGGTTTGGAAACACATTCAGAAGACAGAAGAAATGAAAAGACACAAATTCAAGCCTTTAGTATTCCAAAAAACGTAGGCATTATGTGGTCAAAAATGCATCCATCAAAGTGGATAGGCAGACAAAAGAGAACAGAAAAAATAATAGCTGTGAGCACTCTGCATGAAAAAATAATAAATATGAAGTGGATAACAGTACAGACACACATGCTTTGAAAAGACAGCAAAAGCATTTTCAGACATCACATAGATTTCTACATGGAGAAATTTGGTGCCAGTCTTTTATTATTATTTGGTGCCATGGTGATCTGTTCTTGCTTGAATACTAAACTTTGTGGCATCAAGCTGAAGCTATCATTGTGATATCCTCATTTAACTTGATACCACACATCTCATTTTTCATCAGCCATTAATGTGCATTTAGATTGTGCACTTTTTATGTTTTTTTTCTAAATAATGAAGCAGGTGTCTAATGGGGAGATGTTATTTAGGCACTGATGGAAAAAATATCTGTGCCAGATATCTGTGCTTTTAATTACCAATCTAATTGGCGTACAGCCAAAATTGTCACTGTTATTTGATGAACTGCATTTAGCCAAGATAAAACTGATATAACACAGAAAAAGACACTGCTAATACGGATGGCTTAGATACACGTATAAAATTATATTTTATAATCTACCTCAGGATCACCATTAATCATCCCTTATACCATTACACCTTAAAAGATTGTATTGCTGCATCTTTTGTTGCACATTGAATATTTTTTACTGAATGTGACTGAAACCAATAATTGCATTTTAAATGTTTAAGTGTTGTTCTACATTCATTTGGTATTTTTAATTTAGATCACAGTTTTTTCTTGTGTGTTTTTACATTTAGACTTCATTCTCTTACATGTACAGTGTTTGCCTAAATACTTGAATTATAAGTTGAAGAGAAAGGTTTGAAAGTTCATTCTGAGTTGAGTAAGAAGTGTACTAAGTAGTTCCTGAGTTCCTGACCTTAATCGCATAATAGAACTGCTTTACCCATGACCCTATATCATTCAAATGTCTTCAAATCAGTAAAAAGCTAAAGCTGACATAGTCATCTTTTGCACCTCATTACAAATCTTCTCTCTTTTGTTGTCTTTTGTAGGTTCCATCTGAGTAGGAGGTGGCAACAAAAGACCAAATGCCATGGATGTATTCAATTATACCTACTGGAATGCCTCTGAAGGCAATGACACAGAAGTTGTGGAAGAGAGCGAAAGCGCCTACAAGACTGTGGAGGTGGTGTTCATTGTGTTGGTGGCCGGTTCCCTAAGTTTGGTTACAGTTATTGGAAATATCCTTGTCATGCTTTCCATTAAAGTTAATCGGAACTTACAGACTGTCAACAACTATTTTTTATTTAGCCTTGCATGTGCAGACCTAATTATTGGACTGTGCTCTATGAACTTGTACACAGTCTACATAGTAATAGGGTACTGGCCACTGGGGCCGGTGGTGTGTGACCTGTGGTTAGCCTTGGACTATGTTGTCAGCAATGCATCTGTCATGAATCTTCTCATCATAAGCTTTGACAGATATTTCTGTGTGACCAAGCCGCTCAGCTACCCCGTCAAAAGGACCACCAAGATGGCAGGAATGATGATTGCTGCAGCCTGGGTCCTGTCTTTCATTCTCTGGGCACCAGCCATTCTCTTCTGGCAGTTCATTGTTGGTGGGCGGACAGTACCTGAAAAGGAGTGCTACATCCAGTTCTTCTCTAATGCCGCAGTCACTTTTGGCACTGCCATCGCCGCCTTTTACCTGCCTGTCATCATCATGATTCAGCTCTACTGGCAGATTTCCAGAGCGAGCAAGAGCCGTGTAAAGAAGGATAACCGTAAGCCATCAGCAGCCAATCCAGAGCCCCTGTCGCCTGGCCAGAGGAGGAACAACACACCAAAACCCAACAATAACAACGTACCAGGGGAAGACACGGTGCGTTCCCAGAGCCTGAATGCTGATGATGGAGCAAACCAGCATGATGGAAAGTTGCAAAATGGCAAAGGACCTTCCTCGACCACTGCTGAGGGAGAAACTGAAGGTGATGAGGTGGCGAGGGAGAACTGCACTCCTGGAGAAGAAAAGGAGAGCTCCAATGATTCAACATCAGGAAGTGTGGCTGCGTCCAATCAGAAGGATGAGGAGGCGGCTCCCTCTGCCGCCAACTCCGGTGCAGAGACAAGCCAGCCGCTCCCACGTCAGCGAGCCAAGGCAGGGGGCTCCAAGCTGACCTGCATCAAGATCAAGACAAAATCACCCAAGGGTGACTGCTACACACCATCCAACGCCACCGTTGAGATTGTCCCTGCCTCAGAGCGGCAGAATCACGTGGCACGGAAGATTGTGAAGATGACAAAGCAACCTCCTAACAAGAAGAAGAAAGCACCGCCATCACGGGAGAAAAAAGTGACCCGCACCATAATGGCCATCCTGGTAGCTTTTGTAGCCACCTGGACTCCTTATAATGTGATGGTGCTTATTAACACCTTCTGCTCCAGCTGCATCCCTAACACAGTGTGGACTATTGGCTACTGGCTGTGCTACATCAACAGCACCATCAACCCAGCCTGCTACGCTTTGTGCAATGCCACTTTTAAAAAGACATTCAAACATCTTCTCCTCTGCCAGTATAAAAATATAAGGTCAGCCAGATAAATAGGGGCTCTTTCTAAGGAGAAAGAGGTGCCTGTGTGCGTGTGTGTGTGTGTGTGTGTGTGTGTGTATATGTGTGTGTGTGCCATCCATGTATAGGCGTGTGTGTGTGTGTGTGTGAGAGCGTGTGTGTCTGTAAAAAAGGTTTGTGAGCATGAAAAAGAATGCAAGAGAACATTTGAAGTTACTTTCCATAACTATATCATTTGTTTGTTTTTTTCAGTTTCTCTCTCAATAACCGGTTGTAGCACTTTGCACAAATTCAGCTGATGCCAGTTGCTTTGAGATGTGTCATGCAGAAGCAGCATAGATAAGGAAGGCTGTGAGGAATCCAGTTTCATTCAGAGTTGTAAGCTAAGAAGAAATGAGAGCTTGTAAAGCAGGGAGCACTTGGGAGTGACACTGAGCGGATGAAAAAAGAAAAAAAGAGCAGAGGAAGATCTGCGCTTTACGAAAACACAAGAAACATCAAAATGGGAAAATAGGGCTGACTGAATTTACAAACCTCAGAAGTTTGAAGTTCAGTGAAGATACCTGTAGATAATTGTACATATCAGTGTATACTCAATATTTATGTGAGTGCACGTGTGGGAGTGTGCTGGCTCGGAATATGTGTGTACACCTATGTGTGCCCCCTCTGCTTGCCTTCTTTCTATCTGTTTGTGATCCTCATCGTGGCACTTCCAGCCAGCAACCTGTAAAATAAAGTGAGGCAGCATGTGTAGATTGCCTCTCACATGGTCATATCAGACTTCAGCACCCCCCCCCCAAAAAAAACCCTCAACAACAATAGAATGCAGTAGAACTACTTTCTAATGAAAACGGTTAAAAAAGGATGTTAACCCTTTTTGTATTTTCTATAAAATACATAATTTATTGAATAGATGGACATGCAACTAATTTGGAACAATATAATGAATCGTGATAATGAATCAGTGATCCTACAAGAGAATGACCCCCCCCCACTTTGATTTGAAGGCACATTTTGGGAAATATCCATTTGCTGTCTTGCTGAGAGTTAGATGAGGAGATTTTATGGATATGAAGCTGAAGCCAGGATAGAGTTAGCTTAGTTTAGTATAAAGACTGAGAGCAGGAGGAAACAGCTAGCCTGGCTCTGTGCAAAGGTAAAAAAAAGCTTTCTACCAGAAACGCCAAAGCTCACTAATTAACACGTTATATCTTGTTTGCTTTATGAGCACAAACAGTGAAGTGCAAAAACGACATGCTGTGGTTTCACAACGTTTTTGTGTGGGACTATTTTTTCCGGCAGGGAGACGAGTCTTGTGGTCATTGTAAGGTAGTCACTGCACCGGGCCAACAAATAGTCTTTCCCATAACCCCCATAAAACCACAACTTGTTGTTTTCACATTCTTTGTATCATTATAAAGAATAACCAAATAGCTGTAAAAACAACAAATAACAAGAGTTATGACTAAATAGAAAAAACAACGTGGATTGTTCTGTTGCATTCTTTGATTTGCCAGCCATTTACAACCGTGTAGGCTTTTACAACTGTAGAGAGGAAGTCTGATGCATATGGTGGTAATTAAGATGTTTGTGTTTGCTATCAAGTTATTCGCCACTGATAGGAACCTTTCTATTCTGTGAATGAAACAGGTGGCTGGAGCTCAGAGCTGTGGCTTATTACTGGTATTACATTTTATGGTGTGTAGTTTTAAATTTTTTATTTTTTTTTGGTGTGTGTGGATGAGTGGGAGATGTCTGATCTTGCTGATTAGTGGATTGATGTCACAGTGGCTACATTCAACGTACGACTGCAGGCCAAAGTGACCCAAATCCGATTTTTTTGCTCATAGGCCTATGTGACTCAGATCTGATCTTTTTATGACAGTGTGAACAGGCCAAGTCACCTGGAATCTGATTTTTTCCAGTTTGGATTTCGGCGACTTCCATATGTGGTCCAAATCCGATACAGATCGGATCTTTTTAAATGCGACCTGAGTCTGGACACTCAGGTCGGAATTGATGTGACTTTGACGTCACTGTAGAGCAGCTGTTCTGCTGTAGATGGAGCCGCAGTGAACGCAAAAGCTCCACAAAAGCTAAACATGTGACTCTCTTACTTCTCTACCTTGCTTTTATCTGCTTACAAGTTCCCTTTCTTACACCTGAAATCCACCGGACCGCGAGCTCTCTTCTGAGTTATGTGAGACTGTAACGTTAGTGAGTTTGGTTAGATGCGTTGTCCAGCGCCAGAAACCATAATGAAAAGGACAGAAGGTTGTGAACACTTGTCATAATTCGGGAGAAATGTGACCCGCGAGAGGACAATGAAAAACGGGAGTCTTCTGTAAAAATTGGGAGGGTTAGCAAGTGTGACCTAACCGGAGCTGACATCTGTGGTTTCTTGTTTTCTTCTGTACGACGGTGTGCTGCTGTGTGTGACAGCATGTTATTCTTCTGCGCATGCGGGTCACTTTCAGGCCGTGGACAATTCACACTGGAGTCTGAAATGGGCCACACTTAAACAATAATGTGAACTGTCAAATAAAAAAATTGGCTCTGGGAAAAAAACGGAATTGAGCATGAAGGCCTGCAGTCTGAACATAGCCAGTGTGTACTGTACCGCACTGTAATGATGTGATTGTGAAGGCCTGTGTATGTATGTGTGTGGGTGCCTATTGTGCGAGGTGAATGTGGGTATACATGCTGACGTGTGTTTGCTCCAAGAGTGGAGTTTACTTCTGATCACAGGTTACAACCTTGTGATTTAAATAAGGGCTATTTCCGCATCTTTGGTGTACTTGTTTTGTGATCCATCTTCTTTTTATTTTCACGTTAATCTATGTCAATCATTAAATTTGTAGATTAAAATTAACAAATAGTTAATTTTAAATAGCTTATTTTAATTACAAAATAAATGAGAAAATCAATTTACTGTAAGACATGTTCTGTGTCTTCATGCATGTCATCCATCATTTCAACCCATTAGATAATTCTCGGTCACATTAATGTATGCTCACCAGTTGTAGTGATGAATATGCATGAGCATTAGCCATCAGGAGGCCTCCACAATTGCTGGTAGGGGAGCTTTGCACAGAATTACGCCTGCACCAAATAGCTCCTCAAGGCTGTCTCCTTAAAGAAAGATCTGGGACAGATCCTGAAATGAAAACTCACCATGAGGCTGATCAGATTATGGGATGATGTGGAACACCTACATTTGAGATTAAAGATTGCCCATTACACGCTCAGCTTGTGCTTGCATGCTACATGCTCATGCCCCACTTAGTGCTCCACTCAGTCCTAATCCTGTTATAGTCTCTACCTCATATATGAGGTCATGAATGTAATGTAAATATCACATGTACATTCATTAGTTTGCTCTATCATTAATTCTCTTTTTCTCTATTTTACTTTAAAGCTCCTATACATGCAGAGCCAGTGCACTTGCATAAACATTTCATGGATGTAGTCACAGAAATAAATCTAAATGTTGCATTGCCCTAGCACACTGACATTTACATTTCATTGCTGGCAATCTACAGTAAAATGGTAAATACTATGTTAACATACCAGCCATCCAGAAGCTGTGAATGCATCTCCAGCAGTCTCAGCTAGTCTGTTTCATCATGTCTGTGTGGATGTGGTTTGATTAGATCTGACTGACCAGTGTCTTCGGAGTTTGACTGTTACTAGGGACTAAAAGCCAAGATAACTCACCTTCTGCTGCATCAGTTTTGGCCATTCGAATCTGTCTCTTGTGGGTCCCACAGCTTTATGAAAGTGTAGACCTGAAACAATTAGTTGATTAACTACATTGTAACTACATTGATAGATGTAAAAACTGAATTTTGGACAGATAACAGTGCACTACTTTATAAGCTGATCATATGTTTTATATGAAAAATCTACAAATTAACTTGTAACTACAGCTGATAAATTGAGTAAAAATTGTTTCAATCTGAAATGTGACAGTGTAGAAGTATAAAGTAGCAGAAAATTTATAAAACGGGTTAGGGGGTTAAAAAAAAGTCCAACTACCTTAAAATTTTACTTATGTATAATATTTGAATAAATGTACTTTCCACCACTGGTGCACATAATATGGATGATCCATGTTTATCTATCTGAGCAGTTTCAGCAGGAACCGAGGCATCCATCCAAGTTTAACATCCAACCATCCGTCACGGTGATAAGTCGGGCCATGTCTGTCTGACATCTGTCACACATCTCGGTAGTGGGTAAAGAGCCTTCCAGAATATCTGATTAATCTTTGCTAAGCTGTCGTTTGAGTGATACCAGCAGGAGAGTAAGTGTCTCACAGCTCAAGGGGAGGTCCAGGGGTCCCAGTTTGATCAGCTGCTTAGGTGTTTGATAGAAGGTGATGGCAATTTATCACCTCCTGCAGTGGGAAAAGGGCAAGATGCATCTAAAAAACAAAAGTGCTTACCGTGGTTATCTCCACACCGTGCACTATAAACATCAGGAACAAAGTTCACATAAATCGTTTCACTCCCCCTGCTTCTCTTGCCAAGTTGCTGAGATGAGAACAAAACAACGTTCTTGTGTTAGGCGTTGTCTTTTTTGTTGGAAAGTGACCCAGGAGAGGTGGGTGATGTGAGAGAACGTGGGCTTGTGATAGAACGAGAAAGTGTTGTTAGGTGACAGTGAAAGACAACGGCTCTCACGCATGTGAGGCGTAAAGGAGGCTGAAAGCCCCCAAGGTGTACACTATGTACATGTGAAACAGATAAGCTTGCCTTTGTTGTCATGGTTACTGAGGGGTTAATAGGGGGGGTTGTCACTGACAAAATCCAAAGCTAGAGGATCCCACTGCATGTGGACCATGTTTGGAGAAGCCACAGCCGTTCTGAACAGGTCAGCCAAGGGTTTTGCTGCAGGAATTTGAGTGTCCCAGACGAAACCTGCTGCCTGGTGTAAACACAGTGTGATACGGCATGTTTACCATCCCGCCTGTGCTTTTATTGCGTCTCATTCTCATGTTGTGCAAACAGAATCCACTGCTTCTCGCTTTGTGGTTATTATGATCATAACCTTTATGTTTTCCAAGTCCATTCTAAAGCATATATGCTCACAAACAGGACATATAGTAGTGTTCATCTGTCTAATGTGACTAGAATAAACATTGTCTCTATTGTAATCAACAGATCATAATGTGCCGTCAGAGCTAGCTGGGCTCCTCTTCATACGGCTTATGTCAAAGGGCTAAACTCCTTTTACGGAGACATGTAACGTTGATCAGAGACGACTTAAAATTTAAAGTTTTCTCTGGTTTCGCTGTTGGGGCCGTTGCTGAGAATAGTCTCAACAAATTTATGCAGCCATGCAGAGGTGAAAACGCAGCAGCTTGTACATGCTGTGAGAATTTTATTGGGAAATATATATCGCCAGATTGTACAGAGCAATTTTAAGTGCCTTATCAAGTGTGACATAAACAAATTGCTCTTTTATCCTAAAATCCCTGATGTATCTTTACTGTGTCTGTGCTGAAAGTTGTAGATGGTGCTGCAATGTGATGCACATTAAAGAGCTTGCTATTCTCCCTTCCTAAATGAACTTTTTTTCCTTTTTTTTGTTAAATCTATTGTGTTTCTCAGCTCTGAGCTCCCATTACTCTAATCTCCATCTTAACAGCCACTGCCTGATTGCAGTGGCAATGAAAGTTTGGACTGAGCAATCTAAAATTATCATCTCAATGCCGTTTGAAATAATCTATCAAAAACTGTACAGGATCCTGTCAGAGCAGTGACATATTTCAATACTATCCTGCAGGCACAGCCGGCTATTTTGGTTGATTTTTCATCCAATATGTATGTGTCAGGTGTGTGAGTATGTGTGTGTGTGTGTGTGTGTGCGTGCACGCGCGACTGCATTAATATTTGTCATGTGGGAAATTGTGCTTCCCTGTGCAAATCCTGCGTGTCTGGCGTTATAAGATCAGTACTGTCGTGTGTGTGTGTGTGTGTGTGTGTGTGTGTGTGTGCATGCAACTTGCTGTGCGTTGTTTTATTTTTTCTAAATGCATGAAGACATCAGATTGGACAAAATATCATGGCACACATCAGGGAAGATGCACACAGTGTGATTGTCTATTTCTCTGTCATCACTCCTTCCTCTTTGAACAGTCTTTAAATAGCAACAGGCTTCCAAAGACTCACGTAGTCACAGCTTTGTGTGGTACTGGAATACATATAAATACATTATATTGTACATTTTCTATCACATTTTCTATTTCTTTTATCATTGTACAAAGTACAAATGTAGTATAACAAATTAGAATATCATTAGTGTACAGCCAGAGAGTTTCTTTGTTTGGTTTGAAATTAAAAAATGTCATTTAAAATCTATACAGATATTGGTTATGGAAGTGTTTTAAAGAGAATATGATTATAAAAGTAGAACATATAAATATATGTGCATTTCTGGGGGCATGACTTTCTAAGAAATGGTTTCTTGCCTTGCAAAATGAGCGACTGGATTCAAACTTCAGGGTCCCAGCGGATTTCAAGACTGGCTTTTGCACCCAGAAAGGAAAAAAAAGGAGCAAACTTGGAACCCTGGCGGAGGACAAAAACTTAAACTAGTTTAAATGTAACCAAAAGGCCCAGAGGCAAGGGCTTCATTTTGATTTCTCCTGTAAATGTATGAGGCTTTACACTCACCTTGGGAAGAAGCTAGTGGTCTGCTATCTTACTGAACATACTTTGTAACTTTTGCAATTTTAACATCCTGGGGAAAAAAGTGTTGTGGAGCAACAAAGGTGTTAAGGGTTGAGCTGTTTGACCCAATCTGAACTTTAAGCGTCGCAAATAAAGTGTGGATTTAAAACAAAATCAGCAAACAAAAAAAAGACCAAAAAACAAAAATCAGCTGCAAGTGTTAAATGTACATACAAGTGCTCATTTTTCATTTGCTTAAGTATATAGATGTTCATTGTGTATTCACTCGCTGTGGCTTGTGGCTTCTCTTGCAATAGGAAAAATAAATTCAACAGTCTATTGTTTGCGTTGTATATACCTATGATAATACATTATATGTAATTCGGATGTGGTACATTTGAAATGTACATACACATCTTTAATAGCTACTATTTGAATGTCCCCCCCCCCCCCCCCAAAAAAAATCCCTCATTTATTCTCCTCCCCCTCCCCTACTATGATACTTGCTGTACAGTAACAATGGTAATGATTTCCTTTTTGATGCATTCTTGATTGATTATTTGTTCTGGACAATGAATCTGAGTGTCACTATCGCTGGCCACCTACGACACTGTAAGATGAACTGCATTAAGTGGTTACATTGTGCCATATTCTCTCAGAATGAAATTCAAATAAAAATCTATCAAAATGTGTTTAAAGTTTGGGAGTTTTTGACTGTCAGGATGCACAAGGTGAAAAATAAACATATTTTCTGCCTCCTTTCTTTTGGTTCATTTTTATTTTTGGAAATGTATTAGGAAAAAAGGGAAATTCTAACTCCATCTGAGGCCTACAATAGGAAGGACTTTATTCATTTTTATTTATTTTTTTTATTTTTTTACAGTGGAGAGGTGGAGAGTAAAAATCAGTGGGTATAAATTGAGGTACAACAGAGCAGCAGAAGGAAAACAAACTAAAAACAATTATAGTTTGCACACTTGTACAGTAGCTATTTCATGCAGCCTCCAGAAAGAACTAGCTTATATTTGTTCTTACTGGAAATAAAAGAAAAATATCATATAGCACAGAGTAATGAGGAAAAGTGTTCTATGAACTTGAGCCACTTTAAAAATTGCAAATGCACAACTTTTTGCTCAAATTAATTAAGTGAAGATGTTTAGAGCTTCACTTTTAGCAAGCTGCTTCATTAAGTCGGGACATGGAAGAGTTTTCCAAATTAGAGTTAGGCTATGCAACTGTAAAACAAATCCTATTCAATTTATTCTTAAGAAAATAATCCTAGAAATTACATCATTAGGTAAACACTAGTAAACAAATCTCTTTCATATTCATTATTTGTCCCTACCGCTGAGTATTATATTTCCTATTGCAACACACAAGTTGTTTCTTATCAGGTGCTAGAAAGAAGAAAAAGTAAAACAACTTTGTCACTAAAAGTCATATTTCCACTGATTTTGTCAAAGCTCTATAGGCTCCTATTGTCAACCTACAGGACATACAAAGAGGAACCGTGTTGAAATAGGGCAGTGGACGTCTTTCCATCCTTTTCTTCCTTCCTCCCTGGGACAAACCACCTCATCAGTCCATTTGGGTGCGATCTCGCTTCTTGCCTTCCTTCTTTTGCTTCTTTGCATCTGCAAGAAGAGAAAAGACAAACAAGTTACAACCCACAGTGTTTACTTTGACAGTTTCTCTGCCGCAGGTGTTGTTTTTGAAAATAGACAAATCCCATTGTGTCCATGAAGAGCATAGATGCTCTGCTTCAGATTGTAATACAAATAATCATCCATAAGAGTTTTAAATTTGTTTTTGTTTTTTGCCAAAGTGCAGGTTTAGTGCTGTGACACCGCATGCAATCCCTCCTCCTGTTCTCTCCTGGGGACTGATTCGGTGGCCTGGTGTATGCCCCGTGAAAACCCGCTTTATCAACTTACTGCAACAGTGGATTGGTACCTGGCAGCCATGACAGAAGCCATAGTCCATAGCTTCCCTTTCTGCTTTGCGGCCTCTCTGCTCTGGTGAACTGGAAGAGAGCACAACCTGCAGCGGTTTGGCTAGCTAGCTCCTGGCTAGCAGTTTGTTGGACTGTCAATCTGCTGGGATGTTTGTGTGTATCTGCTTGTCAGCTTGTTTTTGTGTCTTTTATTGTTTGAACATACACGTTTGTGTGTGTCTGTGCGTGTGCGCATGACCAAAATGCTGGACCCCACAAGTTTAAAGGGCTTTTTGAGGGTCAAGACTTGGTTCCAGGGTTCTTGTTACAGAAAGATGTGTATGTGCGTAGGAGTGTGTAAATATGGGTAATCTAAATTGACATTTGTTGAAGATTTTTGTGGTTGCAAAAGAGATGACTTAAGGATGGCTGAATTATCCTGATATTGGCCTTTCAGCAATAAGGAATTGGTCTTGCTCTTTTGTTTTTTCTTTTAACTTAATAATTAAAACATAAAAATATATATTACATTAAACACCACTTACATTTCATATGGATCATATAAGGAGGCATATTAGACAATTTTTTACACTGTTTTGCATTCAATTGCATACCAAATATTTTGTATGAGGTTTGATCAATTAGATAAACTACTAGTTTTCCATGTTATGGGTTTATTATTGTGTAACATTTAATCATAGGTTAAGCATCGGTGCACTTTTATATTTTTCACCATAGAAACAACAGCAAAAAAAAGTAAGCTAGATGAGCTAGTTGTAAGGTTGATCCGATGGAAGTGGTAATGTTTTTTTCCAACTTTTAAAGTCTCGGCCTTATGGCAGTTGACTTGTTGATTTGATTACTTTATTGACAAAAATTGGATGAGAAGATCAATACCACCTCCATATCTGTATTCTAAATATGAAGCTAACGCCAGTAGTCAGCTAGCTTGCACAAATACTGGAAACAGTGGGAAACAGCCAAACAAACAAGATGCAACATCTTAATTAGATCAAAATATATTCATCTTTTTGTATTTCTTAGATGCTTGGCACTGCTAATCTCTTGCTCCTGTTAATCTCTCTCTTTTCATTTTATGATAAGTTGAACAGAGATATCAGACTGGCTAATCCACACCGTTTTGTTTAGACCATGTAAGTAATCCAAAGCAACTTCCTACTACTGCACTAAATTTAGATCCTCCCACATCACTTTTGATTAGGTTCCCAACTCAACTGGCTGTCAAATGTCAAACAAAAGTACACTTAGTCAATGAGATTTCAACAGAGTTTCAACCTTTTAACATTTTCATACCTGCCAACATTTAGGTTAAAATACAGGACCTATTCACTGTTCAGCCTGTGGCATAAGCAGGGGATGGCTTGCAACAATGTCAACTACGCCACCTAGGGGAATTTCGCCCCCAGGAAATTATTAAGAGATTAAATTACTTTAATGCAATGTAGTGGTAAATATGGCTGTAGCCTCGAAAAAAAACTTGAAATGTGTTTGGGTATTTTCTAAGCCCAAGGTAACCAGTTGTCTTAGATCAGCCCCAAACAAAATGTTACCTGGATGCTGATGTGCTTACTCAATATGTGACTGGAAGCAGAAGTATTGTGAAACCTTGAGTGGCTTGCAGGGCAGAGCAGTATCACTATACTCTAGTGAGATTGAACCCATAGCTCAATGCGATCTTGCAAATTTAAATTTCTTTCTTCATAGGCTGCTGTAATGTAGTGCTCACTTATACGATCATATCTGCAGCAGTAGATGTAAGATGCAACTTAAAAATCCCCAGTAGTATGTGAATTATTGACGAATCTGGTGACAGAGGCAGGCCACAGCTGCTGTACACGCCCACGCAAGAATACTGCAACCAGTTAGGCCACATTCAGACGTCAGGTCAAAGTGACCCACAACTGATTTTTTTTTTTTGCTTATATGTGACTCAGTGTGAAAGTTTACAATAAATTGTAAGAGGGCGTCTGGTGATGAACTTACAATACACAAGAAACCTGGTGTGTGTTGGCAGGTCTGCATTCTGAACTTGCATTACAAGGAAATCTTAGAAATCTGTTCTTGTCCCCTTGGTTGCATACTTCCATGAGCATTGAGAATTTGACGTGCAAAACACTCTCACCCATTCCAATATGGAAATGACTTTTCCATCCCATTTGTTTGCTTGTTTTCATTTGTTTGAATATTTTCTCTCTCTTTTCCTCCCCGCTACCTTTGATGTTTTTGTCAGCATATTCTGCACCCAAGGGAGAGAGATGGAGAAAAGGATTCACTCTCGCTCTGTTGTGTATGCTCCATATATGAGATGGGAACTCTCATACCAGGCTGGAGTACTTTCTGCTGCATTTGCACACTACATGACACTGCTCCCTCTCCTCTCTGCCTCTGACACAGACTCATGATCAGGCATTGCTGACTTCTCCAGCTCAAATCAGCCCTGAGCCAAAACACGGTGATGACATTTGGCCAAAACTGAGTTAAGAGCAGAATGTGACATTTGTTGAGAGTTGAAGTGTAAGTACATTTATATATTTACTTTGGTATTTTAATTCTATGCTACCATATACATTTACTTCACAACATTTCAGAGGGAAATAATATACTAATTTAACTGACACATATTTTACATACAAACATTCAATCACATTGTAGAAATGATGCACTCTTTCTCCCTCATTTTCTGTCATTTCTCTACTGTCATCTGTTTAATTTACACATTACTGCTAAATGAAGTTTTATAAACTATTCGGGATTCGGGAACTAAGACCACGCCTCAAACGCATCCAATTTCCGCACACCAAGTACTTAAGCACAACGTTTCCGTTCACCTCCCCTTGACTCGGCTTTCTCATGAGCGTGACAAACAAACAAAATCACTTACCTCCGACGGACTCAGAACTCATTCTCAACCTCTCAGACAGCAACATGTTCGATGAGCATCTAACGTCAGATACACCGGAGTCTTCGCCTTCTCCCAAACAACTTCATCTGAAACTTCAGCTGCATTCAGCTACTCATATTCCCCGGCGATCTCAGCTACGATCTCCGGCAATTCAAATATTGTTGGGCCTTAGCCTGCCAGCAGCTCCAGGGGGAGATCCCGGCTTTGGCGTTCCGAGCAAACAGCCTCAACTAGCCACTGTTCGCCGGCCCGCTCAAGGTCCAGGCGCTCGAGTGATAATCGCCGTTATCGCTACCAGCAACCTCGGAGCCAGCACTCCAACCGTCCCTCCACTCCAAACAGCAACTCAACAAGAGAAACATCTCCTTCCATCACTCCGACAGGAAAGCAAAACTTTTCTAGTGGTACAAGGAATCGCTACAGCCCGCATCCCCGCAAAGCCGACCCTCCTCAGTACTTCCGGTTCATCAGCGCTACTTCCGGGGCAACAACAGCAACTCGGCGGCGCATCCCCCAGCTGAAGGCGCAGAATACAACCACTCATCAGCCCTCACACAGACCCAGGTCGTATCGAACCTAGCTGCACCCCAACCCCTTTCTCATTCGTTTCCTACGTCTGGAACAGCACTGTCAACCCGAGCACACGCATCCCTCCATCCCCGCATCCTTTCTTCTTCCCTTGTTTCTACTTACCCTATCCCATCTCCTCTGGCACCTTCAGTCCTTCCTGCCTCTATACCTGTTACCGCAGAAACCCAGACCGCACCCACACAGGCGACCCACGACTCTGCCATCGGCCAGACCTTTCCTCCTGTCTATTCTTTTTCCCCCTCCCTACCACCCCCAGTGTCACCCTCTTCACGAAAAAAGATTCTCAGCGGTAACCACATCAAACTCGCTTCACCAATTAATCCATCCTCCCATAACCCGCTTATTCCCAGGGAACCGCAAACTGTTCCCAGCCCTATCGAACTCAAGCAACCCCTTCCTAACAGATCCAAAGTACTTACACCAGCAGAATTTCACTCCACTTTTTCTTCATACCCCGACAATATAAGTTCAGTCTTCCCCGACTGCAGGCCAGAGCTGGACGATTACCTGTCCCTAATCTTAGACCTGGCCTTGCGGTTCGGCGGCAGCGGTTTCCACACCTACCAGGTCCTCTTTTCGTCTCAAGCTGCCGGCCGCGTACGGCAGTCCAACCAAGGGACATACTGGGGCACTCTAGACCCCAAGTTTATTTCCACATCTTGACCTGCAACCTTTGCGGCACACCATCAGATCCGGTCTCAGCATGCACCCTCGCAGTCTACTACTCTACCTTTACAGTATCGACTGAAACAGCCCGGCATCGAATAGAATCAAAACATCTCCAGTCAATACAGTACTTCAGTCGACACGTGTGCCTACTTTTTCTAAATAGATCGCAAAACAAATAAATAAATAAATATAAATTAAAAAAATAATAAAATAAAAAATAAATAAATAAAAATGGTTTGCTTGCAGCCAAACACGCGAGCAACACACCGACAGAAAGTGAAGAGTGCGCGTTTTTCTCCTCATGTGCGTGCACCATAAATTGTATAATAAAGACCTGCACCTGCAGAGTACATACGTACAGCCGCACACCTTTTGCTGCGGTCTCAGGCATGTTTGCCTCTGTTGCAAGTTTTTCACCACAAGCTCGGGTTTCCATTGGTGTCATCTTCTGGTACCATCTAACACTTCGCCGTACATTTTTATGTGATATTCCCACACGTCTGCCGACGTCCCAATGC